CTCATTCCAAACAACATACAGCTTACCATCCTCATCTGTGTTTAACTCCCTATTAGCTCAGCATTACTCAACTATCACGACAAAACGGTCCATTTCAGGACCACCATAAATTAGTAAAAGAGTATTTTTCAACTTTTGTTAAGGTCATCAATCCGTTGTCAGTTCCCATATCAAGATAGAGCTGGAATTACGGCGTAACAGCATTTGTAAACAATGATTTTTTTCGATGATGTCTTGAAAGTCAAGGCTCGCCCACGAAAATCAACATCAGGTAGGATACGACTTTCCCTACCCGACGTTAATGTTGGTTTGCGTGGGCGTGCCTAGAATTTCTAAAAATCATCAAGATAAGTCATTGTTTACAAAAACTGTTACGCCTTATTCTAGCTCTATTTAGATATGTTTAAATCTAGCATACCATGTTCATGGAGGCAACATTGGGGGTGCAATTTCAAAAACCAAAGTCGGTCGTGGCATGAAAGTGGTCTGATTTTGATCGAGAGATGATGGATTTTAATTATTAATACGCCAATTGATAGGATTTTTTTCTACGAATCTGTTAAAATTAAGACTTTATAATTTTTCAAAATTATCAATTTTCAATTTTTTGCAATATTCAATAGTGACAATATTGCACGAATGTGCAACTGTTGCTATGATAATTAAAATTACCACCGATTGCCTGCCAAAGGCGATTTCCCCGATTTCTGCTGCAGTTAACAAATAAGATTTATTATATAAGACCACGTAGTCCTACACAGCAAAAAAAGTTGTTGAATATTACATCGAAACTGCTGCAACCAGGTCAATCCATCGGTTGTGTAATATCACATTGTACGATGTATATCGATTTTGCGAACAAAATTACATCCATTGATGTAATATTGTATCTGCTTTTTGCTATTACATCATTATTTCGTACATCAGCTTGAATTACGTTGATCGATATTACATTTTTTTTTGCTGTGTACGTCACCATTGCGTACAACCACCAATCAATACGAAACTAACGATTTTAAATTGGCTCACTACTTGACTAGCCTATTGGTCCCAAGCAAACGATTAACGTATCCCATTCTAGTCAAAATTCTAGTACTACACAATGTTTGTTTTGATTCGCTATGAAAGTTTGACAGATAAAATGAGGGGTTAGTGAATTTTCCTATGTTTCGAGGGGTGAATCGATTAGCTTGGGACCGAAGATAGTACCAGAGCTGAGCCAAAAAGTTGAGCTCGTTTCTTCGGGACCTTCTGGTCTTAGAGTTACCTCTATGGTACAGCCATATTCAGAACCAAACGCAAATTCTTCGAGATAACCACCATCCGTCGTCTGACTCGCCGTGGCGGTGTCTGACGTATCTCCAGTCTGATTTACGAGAGTGCTGAAGGTGTTCCTGAAAAATGGGATCCGTGATGCTGTCACCTACACTAAACACGCCAAGCGTAAGCTGCCATGGATGTCATCTACGTTTTGAAAACGCACAGAGACGCACTCTGTTTGGTTTCGGAGGTTAAATCATCACCAACGGCTCTTTTCAGGGCCACCAAGCTTATTACAGTAAAGAGTAGGAATAGAATTCATCTGCCTGTTTGTCCATATTCAGAACCAACGATCACACAAAATGCTCATTTAATCAAACTGGAAGTAGGGGTACAAATTATTTTGATCAACCTTGATCAACTTTGAATCGCCACGGCCGGATATTTTCGATGGAAGAAGCAACAATCAAGCTTCTAATTCGACGAAGACGGCAGGAAACATTTTTGAAGCCAAATTATTAACGAAAGAGTGAGAGTCGATGAAGAGAATCGATCAATGTAGATAGAACTTATTGAAAAGTGACGCGAGATTTATTTTCCGTCGATCTTGTTTTCCGTGCTGAGCACCAATGCTACCGACGGCGACGTGCCACGAAGGCAGCTCCCACACCTGGACCCTACCAATCGACCCATCAACTCATGAACAGGGGACCAACGGCTTTACTTCCCGAAGGAAGGCGTGATCAGAGATGTTACGCCTTAGAACATGCCGGTGGCACCGACTGAGATTGGACCCAGGCCTGCTGGGGTGAGAGGTAATCACGCTAACCACCGGCGCCGATATCTTTCAATGTGATATCAGATTGACCCAAATTTGAGTTTAGGTATCACAGAAATAAGAAATAAAGTGCAGGAACTCAGCGATGAGTAAGTTTGCCTTATTTTTTCACAGGTTTTTCCAGGATTTTCCAGGGAAAAATTCCCGAATTTGAGAAAAGTAAAGATTGGATTCACTCAGTCTATTGGTACTACTCCGAGACTGAATAAAATTTTCGTCAATTTCCTCATTTTCTGGCAGATTTTTTAGGTTTTCCACACGAAATCATGAGACAAATTTACTCATCGCTGAGTTGCTACACTTTTGGCGATTATGAGTGAACTAAACTCAAATTAGGGTTGTTCTCATTCGCCGTGTACGCAAAAAGAAAATAGCCAGTGTCGCTAGTTGATAGCAAACTACTCATAATGGGAGGAGTCTTTGTAGCTTTTATACCACTTGGTTGCACATTATTCTGCTTTAACCTAAAAAAATATAAAGCAGCGCTGCTGTCTGGTATCAGCTCATTTTCGCTTCGGACGGCGTGGTCAGCAATGGCAGCAGTAGGTCGTGGCAAAGGAGGTGCCAATCGTCATCGCAAATTCTTCGAGATAACCACCATCCGTCGTCTGGCTCGCCGTGGCAGTGTCTGACGTATCTCCGGTCTGATCTACGAGGTGTGCTGAAGGTGTTCGTGGAAAATGAGGTCCGTGATGCTGTCACCTACACTAAACACGCCAAGCGTAAGTGGCCATGGATGTCCTCTTCAATAAAACGGCCCTTTTCGGGGCATCAAGCTTACATCAGTAAAGAGTTGGAATAGAATTTATCGGTGCTTGTTTGTTCATATTCAGAACCACAAGCCCTCAACGACCACACAAAATGCTCTCCAGACTCCAGAGTTGTAATCTTGTAACCAAACTTGGAAGCAGGGGTGCAAGTGATTTTGATTGATTATCTTAATCAACTTTATCTTAGGAAAAAAATACTACAAATTTGGTACGCCTTCAATTAAAAAACGGAAAGAGTTGAGATAATAGATAATTGATCTATTAAAAGAACTAAATGCTCTTCACATTTATTCCGTCCACTAGCGGTCCTACGTCAAGCTTCCGTTCGTGCCCCCTAGGCACAGACCCTTCTACTTTTTTTTTTCTTTATTATAGAGATTTTTAGCCATAGGCTAGTTCATCTCTTATTGTTGTTGAACACTTTGTTTTATTAAATTTATTTATAAGTCAATTAATTTTCTTATTGTTGTTTTAATATACATTTTTATAGTCTTCTTCTAATGATTCATCCTACGATTTCATTGTAAATCGGTGCCAGAGGAAACTGATATTTGTGAGTATTAATTTCTTCCAATTTTGATTCTGCTCTGGGCGGCAAACTTCTAGGAAGACCATCCACACGGGCGTAGCTTTTGGGTAACTTGAATTTAATATGCCATGCAGAAACCAACAAACAACAATTTGCAGACATGAAGTTTAAACGATACTTTATTTAGATTTCAATGCTGCAACAAAATTCATAATTCTCACATCATTCACTGTCCTCATGTTTGTGTTGGAATATACTTTCTCCAATTTATCATTTTTCTCAATAATTACATGAAGCTGTTAAGATCAACGATAAGAATTATTATCTAATGCAGCACAACAATCTCACAAGATCGAACCTTATTTAACTTATAGACCCAACAAACATTGAATGTTGAATAAGAGCTTATTCAGGCAAAAATAAGCTTCTTCAGCTAAAAGTTGGCCTTTTCAGCTATTAATCAACTCAAATTGTTTGCTGTACTAGACATTTAACGATTCTGCATTAATCCACTAATTGAAATTCTTTATTGGCAATTACCAGATGACAGTTGAGAAATTAACAACAAAAATCAGGTTGCTGCTAGCATTGAACATTGAGCAACATGAGTTACTTAGAGTTACTCAAAATCAACTCACAAATCTGTCGTGAGGATGAGCTGTCTTGCCCCAAGATTTGAGCCCGGGAAATGCTGCCTACTGTCAAACGCTGCTGATGGTATAGGCCTTGTCACTGACCCGCTCCGTTCCGACGCAAAGGTCGGTATAGAGCAGCCCAGTGGCAGGCGTGTAGGCAACATGTCATACCGTTACTGCTGGCCCAGCACAGCAAAATAAACGATTTGAGCCCGAGACATGCTGCCTACTGTCAAACGCTGCTGTTGGTATGGGCCTTGTCACTGGCTTGTTATAAAGGGAGAGAATGCAAACTTAGTATAAAAATGGTTTATGCGTGCCATGGTTTAAAATCGAAATATACTTACAATGCATAGATACGGTTTATTCGAGAGAATGTATTTTTCGCTTCGTTATTTTATTTATGGCAAATATTATTGTTTTTAAATAAAAATTAAAATTGTCTAAGGAAGGTTTTTTGATTATTTTATTTTTTATGAATATTATTTACAAAATACTTACAATTTCGATGTTCATTAGGATGAACTCGTGCTCACGCAGTCTAGCTGCCCAGGCGCAGTAGAAATCCGCCGGGACGAAGCTTTTAACCAGCATGAAGCTCCGAAGAGAATCCAGATGTTCTTTTTCCTATCATTTCAGTAAACACTGATCGAATTCCACTCCGTTATTCGGACTTAGTAAAATTTTGACGAACATTTTAATCGAACCAATGTATAAATTTTGAAAAACCATAGAATGCATAAAATTTAATCTATATTCGTTTTGTAATATTTTTGAGTGTAAGCCGATCCCTTTTTTTTTTTTTTTTTTTTTTTATGGCACAGACCTGTTGGTCCATATTATACAGTGCAAAGCCGATCCGTAAGCACCGTAAGCACCAACCAACGTTTCTGACAGCGGCTGGCTTCGTGCAACGCGTGCAATCTCACATCAACAAAAATCTCCGGTCTTCAGTCGAAATCTGCTGACGTTGGTGTAAGTGCTGCTCTTCGGTTTGGGGCCGCTGCCACATTATCAAACAGCGCTTGCATTTTCATATTATCGTCCGATAAGAGGAAATCACATTCCCCCAATTACCGTTCGTTTCCTGGATTTCCAGTAGCATTTCATTTTCGTTTGTGCTGTTAAGTGAAGAAGATGACGTTCAATTTGCGCCAGGTGTATGCATTTGCACGGGAGTACCACCAGAAGCGGGACACCCAGAAGGATGTCCAGTATGGCACGGCCGGATTCCGCTCGCAGTGAGTTGGTTTCTTGTTTGCTTTCACTTTTGCTTGTGCTTTGTTAATATTTCATCGTGGTTGTGGTGAATGTTTGCATTATGATAATGTTTATAACACGTCCAGGTCGCGAACATTTTAAATTTCCGGTTTCGTGGGTGGTGCGGTTTAATCGTGGCAGGATAAAAGAGATTGTTGCTGATGATGTATCGAAATAATTAATTGGATACAGTTTTACGACTTACAATTGGTCATTTAAATTCTATTCTAAATGTTCAACAAGCTGAAAATTTATGGATTTTTTTTTAAATATAACTGAACGAAATGAAAAGTTACAGAATACGTTGAATGAGTTCAAAACATAAGATTGGAATAGGTACGAGAACCAACCATAAACTTTTCATGTATGCGAAAAGAATCCGTTGCTTATTATTAAATAATTTTGTATTTAGAACAAATCCAATTCGTTTATTTGGGAGTCTCCATCGCGGGAGCTTTACGAGGCCTCATTCATTCATTTTTGTACCCACTGCTTTCTCAATCCAAAAGCTATTCTAGAACTGAAAATTCTAACAATTTTTGACAATATTGTGGTCCCATGAGTTGAAATGTAGAATAAACGTATGTCCCAACACGTCACGTTTTTCAGGTACCGCCCTCTTTATTCTTTGTGATTCACGATTTTGGTCATTTACTGATAACTGCGCATGGTGCATCTTGATCATTATCAGGATCAGGGCAAAGCTCATTTAAGTAGAGCTTACTTTAAAGCTAACACGTCGTAGTACGTTCACCGACAAACCGACATGACACTTAATTCTGACTAATGCCCGAAAATCGTAAACGGCCGCTTTAAATGTGCAGTGATCCGAACTGTCAAATCCATAGGATATTTTGATCTAGATAAAAATAATTTTTCCACAATAGATCAGACACGAACCAATTCATAACTTTTGCATGGGGGTTCATGATTTAGCTAAATATTTCCAGCGAACACGGAGCCAGATGTCAGTAGTGTGCTTTGGTCAGAAATCTTATTGTTTTTGCTATGGTCATTCATGTAGGTTTGTCGGTGATGGAAGTACTCACCCTAAACAAGATATACTTTAGATAGGAAACTAATCTCGGAATGATGCATTTCATTACGGAAAAGTGTTACTTAAGACAGACGAAGACAGGCCTATATTTTGCAGGTCAAAGTAGAAAGGTAGCATAATAAGGAATTAGAGACATTTTACTTTTAGGCTGATCTCGTGGGAGAATAAAATATTGTAAAAAAAATATTTGTAGTTAGGTTGGTTATAATTTTTTTCAATTCAAACTAAATATGTCCCCAAGTGAGAATAATGTAAACTAGAGAGGGTCTAGTATAAGAGAGGAGCGGTTTCAAAACAAACTGCTTTGACAACCTATGCCTAAGTGATTTCTAGCAACACTGCCAATACAATCAATATAGACGGTGCTCGATTGGCTCTGGCTTTGACAGTTCGTTTGGCTCAAAACCAGCCAGTTCACTCCTCTTTTATACTATACCCTCTTTAATGTAAACTAGCTGTCAAACGAAAAACGTATATTAAATAATCAAAATCCAAATTATATTCTAGACTTTAACTCAGAAGACCAAGTCGTAGAAAGTCGCGTTGCACAGTGTTACCACCGACAAACCGACATGAATGACCATAGCAAAAACAATAAAATTTCTGACCAAAGCACACTACTGACATCTGGCTCCGTGTTCGCGGGAAATATTTAGCTAAATCATGAACCCCCCTGCAAAAGTTATGAATGGGATCGTGTCTGATCTATTGTGGACAAATTATTTTTATCTAGATCAAAATATCCTATGGATTTGACAGTTCGGATCACTGCGCATTTAAATCGGCCGTTTGCGATTTTCGGGTATTAGTCAGAATTAAGTGTCATGTCGGTTTGTCGGTGGTGTTACCGCTGTACGACGATTCAAACATCCGTGCATCTCATTTCCATTATCATTGTAACCACGCATGCTTTTTCATTGCTTCCTTCTTGTCTCTCATTGCACGAACCGCGTCAATCTAAATCATTCGAATCATTATGCAATTTAACCGATGCATTTTTCGTCTCGTTCGCAATCTTTCCCCGCATACAGCGCCGACAACCTGGACTATGTGATGTATCGGATGGGTTTGCTGGCGGTGCTTCGTTCACGTGCCAAACAAGGTCAGGTGATCGGTGTGATGATAACGGCATCGCATAACCCCGAACAGGACAACGGCGTCAAGTTGGTTGATCCGATGGGAGAAATGATGGAACAGCGCTGGGAAAAGCTGGCCACTGACATTGTCAACGTTAGTGACGTTAATTTGGAGGCACAGGTGGCCAAAATTTGTGCCGACGAGAACATCGACAATAATAATCCGGCCAAGGTTTTCGTCGGGATGGACACCAGATATCACAGTCCTCAGTTGGCCAAGGCAGTGCTGAATGGGGTAGCGGCCATGAAGGGAAGCGTCCGAGATTTCGGCATCGTAACGACTCCGATGTTGCACTACTTTGTCACGTGCTCCAATACGAATATGGCGTACGGACTACCTACTGAGGAAGGGTACATGCACAAGTTATCCACGGCATTCAAGATCATCAGGGGCAGAACATTCGAGAAGGGTAACTATGTTAATAAGGTTTTCTACGATGGAGCAAATGGAGTCGGATCGTTGAAAATGCTGGGTTTCATCAAGAAATTGAATGGATATCTGGATGTGAAGGTGTACAACAGCAATGGAAAAATCAATTTCAATTGTGGAGCTGATTTTGTCAAAACCAATCAACGGGCACCGGAAGGTATGCCGGAGTTGGAACCGAACGCACGTTGTGTGTCGGTAGATGGTGATGCAGATCGTGTGGTTTACTACTTTACCGACGAGAAAGGTGTTTTCCATCTGCTAGATGGTGACAGGATTGCTACTTTGATTGCTGCGTAAGATTAATTTGTATTTGGTGGTGTGAGCGATCAGTTTTCTAACCTTAGCGTTTACAGGTACCTGAAAGATTTAGTTGAAAAATGTGGCGTTGAAATCGAAATGGGACTTGTTCAAACTGCGTATGCTAATGGCGCTTCAACGGATTATATTGTGAATCAGCTGGTAAATTTTGGAACTCTACCGTTTTTGAGAAGTGATTCAAAACTCCAACTATTTCTAGAAAGTGCCCGTTGCCTGTGTTCCAACCGGAGTTAAGCATCTGCATCACAAGGCACTGGATTACGATATTGGTGTATACTTTGAAGCAAATGGGCATGGTACCGTCATCTACAGTACGAATGCCAAGCTTAAGATTCGTGCTGCGAGTGGAGATCCATCGCTCACCGAGGAACAACGTGATGCTGCCAACCTTTTGCTCCGAACTATTGATCTCACTAACGAGACGGTCGGTGATGCTATTTCCGACATGCTACTAGTGGAAACGGTTCTACATTACAAGGAATGGAGTTTGACGGACTGGCTGGCAACGTATACCGATCTACCGAATGTATTGATGAAGATCAAGGTGGAAGACCGAAGTGTTATAACTACAACCGATGCCGAAAGGGTTTGTGTTACCCCGGAAGGGCTACAGGATGCTATAAATGAAATTGTGGCCAAGTATAACAAGGGTAGATCATTTGTACGTCCGTCGGGAACCGAAGATGTGGTGCGGGTGTACGCCGAAGCGGCTACAAAGGAGGATACACTTCAGCTGGCCCTGGAAGTGGCGAATGTGGTGTACGACAAAGCGGGAGGCGTTGGACCACAGCCAGAGATGCCGAAGATTTGAAATGTTTGCCTAAACCTAAGGCTACTAATACTGCCAATGTTATTTTGGGTAGTTTTTGGAAATGATGTTGCAAACGTAATATTTAATGTGGTTGGATTTTAGCAAAGACTTCAAATCAAGAAGACTGGCAACTTCTTGATATGTTATCTTCGATTTTAGTCAACTTTTGAGATTATTTTGTAAGATGGCTTCAACACTACACTGTTAGTAAAAAAATGAATCTACTGATGAATAAGCTTTTATTTACCATATTGTGCATATGAATAAATTTTGTTATTGGCGCTTTTTATTTGCATCGATATAGTGTATAAGTTATTGTTTCTTCGAAATGTCTAGTGTCTGAGTGTGTTGTTTTTATAATAAACAGAAAAGCTTCCAAAGCCTGGCCTGTGTGTCTCCTCCCTGCCCATAAATGAAGATACGGCATCATGAAAATATCGTGTTTGAAGAAGTGTCAATGGAATCTATGCTGATGTAAATGAAATTTATCCTTAAAAAGTGGACATAATAAATTTGCAATCCGCAGAGTTCATTGTTTTTAACAACCTTCTACACGGATAGAAATCCCCTTATCGTTTTCGGAAAATTTCTATTGTTGATTATACATAAGCCAACTAATAAGCAGACTGCATGCAAGATAGTTAATGAAGATTGTGTCATATAAACTGTCAACGAATGATCCATACTTTTGCTGTATTAATCATACCTACACACTAATCCACTGCCTATAAATGCATATCATCTGCAAGCCGATAAACACGCTGTTGTAAATATATTCCCCCTTATTCTGCGAGTCACGTGACTCTCTCTCACCGGTGAGGTGACAATTGTCACCTCGTGTGAGGTGACTCTCCATGCAAATCAAATGGAGAGTCACCTCACACGAGGTGACTATTGTCACCTCACCGGTGAGAGAGAGTCACGTGACTCGCAGAATAGGGGGGATTGATCCGTATGCTCCTATGGATGGGACAACATAGTTTCGGTATTTTCACGATGTTTTCAGAACAAAATATTTAACTTTTAGTGCACAGTGTAAAATGCCGGTATCGATTCTAATGGATAACTCATTTCTGACAACAATCCATCCCCCCTATTCTGCGAGTCACGTGACTCTCTCTCACCGGTGAGGTGACAATAGTCGCCTCGTGTGAGGTGACTCTCCATTTGATTTGCATGGAGAGTCACCTCACACGAGGTGACAATTGTCACCTCACCGGTGAGAGAGAGTCACGTGACTCGCAGAATAAGGGGGCATATGTCAAGCTTTTATGGACAGTCCAGGCCTCCGCTGTTCGGTAAATTTTGTACTATACGGACCTGTTCGGTAAAAATTAAATGTTAACATTTAAAAATTAAAAATTAATGAAAAATTCTTTCCGAACTTGTGCAGTGATAATAAAAAAAATAATTGCCAATTTTATTGATATAGGTATATCTAATTCTGAACTTTATTGCGACGAGTTCTCGGTATCAATCGTTATGGTACAAGGTATTGAAACTGGACGGAGATAATCTTCTATTGTTTCTTTCAAATAATCAGGAATGACGAACGGTTCACTTCCATCCTTGGTGGAAAGTTTATCGAAATTTTCGATAAGCTTGTTCAAATGTGCACAAGCATCCAAGAGTTTGTTCGCTTGATGGGATAGTACTTCCGATTGATTTTGGATTTCAGACAGCTGGGTAGAACTTGTTGGCGTAGGTGCTTCTGATGCATTGCTGGCAATGGAGTGTATTCCCGATACACGATTGATAATTTCCTCCTTGACCTGGTATTGATGCATGATGGTCGTAAGCGTTTGAGCGACGGCAAACTCTTTGGGATCCTCCAATGACAGTCGGTACAGATCCTGCACAGTGCTGCATACGGAATTCCATTCGGGTATCTTGGGAAGCGGTTTGGAGTCATGAATTGCTTGGTTCACATCAAACAGAGCAATCCACAAGAATGGATGACTGGCTCCCATTTTACGCAGCTCTGCCTCGAGGGTTAACTTCTCTGCACTCATAGCGTATTTTTCCGAGATGATGATAGAATAATTATTAATATTTTTTTGATAGAATTTGATAACAATCCCTCACTTAGGCTCTGAACCATTTGGTGGATTATTTTAACTTTTGGTTAAAATTTGACAGATGGAAAGTTATCGATTAACCCTGCTATCCGAGCGTGGTTATTTCTGACAGACAAGAAGTTAAATTTTGACGATCGTGGCTCGAAAACCGGTCAATCGATAGCACGGGGATTTTCGAACATAAGAAATAACTTTCGAAATGTCACTTTTAACTACGAGTTAAATTTAACCCGGCAAATGGTTCACAGCCTTAGGCTCTGAACCATTTGGTGGATTATTTTAACTTTTGGTTAAAATTTGACAGATGGAAAGTTATCGATTAACCCTGCTATCCGAGCGTGGTTATTTCTGACAGACAAGAAGTTAAATTTTGACGACCGTGGCTCGAAAACCGGTCGATCGACAGCACGGGGATTTTCGAACATAAGAAATAACTTTCGAAATGTCACTTTTAACTACGAGTTAAATTTAACTCGGCAAATGGTTCACAGCCTTAATACAGGCTCTGAACCATTATTTGGCGAATTTTTTTACACGGAGAAAAGAACAACTCAAAATTAAAATAGAAAGTACACGCTAACTTCAGCTTACCCAGTCGATCGTACACAGCAAAAAAAAATGTAATATCGATCAACGTAATTCAAGCTGATACATGAAATAATGATGTAATAGCAAAAATCAGGTACACTATTACATCAATGGATGTAATTTTGTTCGCAAAATCGATGTACATCGTACAATGTGATATTGCACAACCGATGGATTGACCTGCAGGTGTAATTATTTTTCCGGTCAAAATAACTATATTGTTCAATTGTTTTAGAGATAACCCGAAACTATAGTTGATTTGACTATATAAAGAGAGCAACAACTATAGTCCATAGTTGGCTCCTCGGTTGGCTCAATTATATTTTTCAGTAGATGAACAAACGTCAAACTTCAAAATACAACTATGCTTTAGTTGATTCAAGAAAACTATTGTTAGAAAAGCAAAATTTTACAATGTTTATTAAACGAACTGCTCTTCATTATCGACATATTAAGGAAGTTTGTTTTGCTTCTTTATCGATCTCAAAAACACAACTGCAAACTCATAAAAAAAAGTGAACAAGAACATTCAACTTAGATTTGAACCGTGTTCATCTGCGTGAGAGCCAGCTATCTTATCGCTTGCTCTACGCATCACTAGTTAAAAGTATGTGGATTTATGATGATCACTTGAAACCAAATTATATAAATAAATTACATTTGACGGTTGTTATAATTGATCAAAGTTATAGTTGAATTGAGTATAAGATGAACAGTTGAATCTATTAGGTAGATATGATTGAGTTGACGGTAAAATTAATGTTGGAATAACTGTAGGTTTTTTTCAAACAACACTATTTTTCCATGTGAAAGTAACTATTAGGATTGTTATCTTAACTTAACGAATTTGTTCTCCGTGTGGTACCATTGCAGCAGTTTCGATGTAAATAATATTCAACAACTCTTTTTGCTGTGTACTCACTTTCGTCCGACGTACACTCAAAAAATATTGAAATCTAATTAGTATAAAAGTTACGCTAAGGCTCTGAACCATTTGGTGGATTATTTTAACTTTTGGTTAAAATTTGACAGATGAAAAGTTATCGATTAACCCTGCTATCCGAGCATGGTTATTTCTGACAGACAAGAAGTTAAAGTTTGACAACCGTGGCTCGAAAACCGGTCGATCGACAGCACGGGGATTTTCGAACATAGAAAATAACTTTCGAAATGTCACTTTTAACCACGAGTTAAATTTAACTTGGCAAATGGTTCACAGCCTAAATAGCAACTCTCCGTACCGACGCAAAGGTCGGTATAAAGGGAGAGAATGCAAACTTAGTATAAAAATGGTTTATGCGTGCCATGCCGCATAAACGCGAACCATAAATTGACCTTACCAAAAATGGTTAAAAATTGTTTATAATCCCTGCTAAACTTCAACTGAAATGGTTATGGAACTTTACAAGAACGTTTAATGATAAAGTTTTAACCTAATACATAATATATGGAGAAAAAAAGAATTTTGAATGGTAATGGTTCTTAACAACCCATTATTTGTGAGGTCCGCTTTCAAAAAACAATAATACATAAGGTTAAAACTTTATCACACAAACGTTCATGTAAAGTTTCATAATCATTTCAGTTAAAGTTTAGGAGGGATTATAAACAATTTATAATTATTATCGGTAAGGTCAAGTTATGGTTCGCGTTTATGCGGGATAGTATAAAATCGAAATATACTCACAATGTATAGATACGGTTTATTCAAGAGAATGTATTTTTCGCTTCTTTATTTCATTTATGGTAAATATTATTGTTTTCAAATGAAAATAAAAATTGTCTCAGGAAGCTTTTTTCATTAGTTTATTTTTTATTAATGATATTTAAATAAAAATACTTACAATTTCGATGCTGCCCAGCAGAAATCCGCTGGGACAAAGCCCTTCACCAGCACGAAGCTCCGAAGGGAATCCAGATGTTCTTATTCCTGTCATTTTGGTAAACACTGATCGAATTCCACTCCGTTATTCGGACATAGTATAATATTGACGAAAATATTAATCGAACCAATGTATAAATTTTGAAAAACCATAAAATGCATAAAATTTAATCTATATTCGTTTTGTAATATTTTTGAGTGTATCGTGTTGACAAAAATTGAGTAAAGACCGGCGCACAATAGATACGTTTTCAGGTTTTTTGACAGTTAGCCCATGCATTATCTGTCAAAAAACCCAAAAACGTATCTATTGTGCGCCGGCCTTAATACTAACAATCAATACGAAACTAACGATTTTAAATTGGCTTACTACTTGACTAGCCTATTGGTCCCAAGCAAACGATTAACGTATCCCATTCTATTCGAAATTCTAGTACTACGCAATGTTTGTTTTGATTCACTATGAAAGTTTAACAGATAAAATGAGGGGTTATAGGATGCTGCACGCTGCACTCTCTTCGGTCCCAAACTTGTCGAATCACCCCTCGAAACATAGGAAAAACCAATAACCCCTCTTTTATCTGTCAAAATTTCATAGCGAATCAAAACAAACATTGCGTAGTACTAGAATTTCGACTAGAATAGGGTACGTTAATCGTTTGCTTGGGACCAATAGGCTACTAAAGTGGTGAGCCAATTTAAAATCGTTAGTTTCGTATTGATTGTTGGTATTATTTTT